ATTATATATATATATATATATATTATATTTTTATAAATATACATATAAACATAAAAAATATAAATAATTTTCAATAAATAAATATGCATATTTTAATATTACAAGGTTTTTGCTTTATTTTCATGAAAAAAATAAGTATTTCACTAATAGTATTATATATATAATAAAGAAAAAAATAATAAAAATATTTTTTTCTTCTTTATTATTATATAAACTATAAATTTATTTTTATTATTTCTATTATAGAAAATATAAGATTTCTTATAAAAAATTTATTTTTATTTTCTAATTGCACAAATAATACAAATAACTGTCTATTTTCTAAAGTTTTCCTAATTATATAGATAATACAAATAATTTTCTTATTTTCTAGAATTTTAAGTACAATTTTTTTATTATAATAATCATCTTTGATATGTAAATACTTATTAAAACAAAATTCTTATCCATTTTCACTAGTACATAAATTTTCATTTAATTTTATTTTGATATTTTTTTCTTGTTCTAATGTTTTCACAGTTGCTTCTAATACATATAAATGTTCATCATTTATACCTGGTGCTATTAGTCGCATTGCAGATGCCAAATTATACAAATATTCTGTGTTTGCTCCACTAGGACCATGAGACACTAATATTTGTTTTGCTATTGTATATATATCTTCTACACCTGCATAATTTGGATTATCTTCTCCACCTATATAAATTGTAATATAAAATGGTGTGTTTTCTGAAACTGATGATAATAATTTTTCATTTTCTAAATCACTTGGAAATTTATTATTTGCTAAAGAATATGATGCAGTATCTTTAATTGAATAAGATGGATAAAAGAGCACACTTTTTCTTTCATATCCTCCTTTTTCTCTGTAATCCAAGTGTTTTACAACTTTATCTTTGTTTTGAGGTGATATTCTATAAGCAACACCCCATACTTCATCATTAGGATTATCAGAATTAAGTAATGTTACAACACGACCAGGCTATAATATTATTACATAATATTATTATTTATTTAAATATTAAATATAATGTATTATATATCACATAAAAGGTAATAATATAAATTATTAATAAGTAATAAAATATATATTTATATATAATATTTATATATTTATATATATATATATATTCATATTTATATATAATATATAAATATGAATACTATTTTTAGATATATATATTAAATTATATTAATTAATTAATTTAATATTAGAAATTATATTAAAAGGAATTAACAAAGAATTTAGAAATAAATTTTCACATAAAAAGAATTTATTATAATTTAAAAAACATTAATTACATCTACAATATATAATTGTAGATATTTTACTGAATTCTTAGAAAATATAAAAGAAATTATAATTAAGTTTCAAATTTCAATTTATAAATGATAAAAGATATTTCAAGTGAAAAAGATTGAATAAAATTTTATATTAAAATAATTAAATACATACTCTACTAGGTATTCCTCTATGATCTATACTTTTTTGGTAAAATCTCCTGATATATCCTTTGATATGACCAACAAGAATTTCTTCGTATGGAAAGTCTGCTTTCCATATCAATGAACCATAACCAAACACCCACATTATCACTTTTCTTATCAAATGAAATTTAAAGATTAATTAAAAATTATATTTTTTTGTAAAAATGTATAAATTTCGAAGAATAAATTTCGAATTATTTCCTGCATTCCTAAAAAATATTCAATTCAATTGAATTCTCATTACATTATCAAATAATATAAATATATGTAGACATTTTATTAAAAGTTTTAAAAACATAACATAATAAAATATTTTATATTAAAATTTTAAATATAATATCTATAAGATACAATTATTTCAAATGAACTATAGTTTCTTACATATTAAAAATTTTTTAACATTCAACGAATATTTTATGAACTTTTGTCAAAAATGAATTTGAATTATGTTGTGAAATTATAGTCAGTATATACTTGTGCTTAATTAAAATTACATTAGATAACCACGCGGATATTCAAACAGAATCAAATTCTTTTATAAAGAATAAATTTTTATATAGATCAAAATATATATAAATTTTAATGCCTATAATTTTGATTAATATATACTTATTAAAAATTTGATATAAAAATTTGATATTCAAAATGTTTTCAAAACTTCTGTGCACCGATGTTCTTGCCATTCGATGTATTGATAATTTAATTTTCGTAGGTTAGTACAATATATATATGTAATTATTTACATATAATATAAAAATTACAATTTTTCATATATGTTTTCAATATCTTTAAAAAATAATATTTATTGATTAATGATATTTATTTAATTTTTAATTATTTTATTATTTACATAGGTGTGGGATGCTCATTATATATTTTTAATGTTAATACTTATAAGTTAGAAAAAAAAATGAATTGTCTTTATCCATATAATATACATGGAATTATTGAAGGTCCTGATAATAAATTAACTGTGTTTGGTGCTAATTATTTTTGTACATATAAGATTTATTATGAACAAGAAACATTGATGTAAGTTTGAACATTATATACATATATATAACATTTTTTTGATTATTATGTATTTTATATATTTATATATTTTTATAATATATATTTTATTCTTTTTATTAGAATTAAAGAAGATTTAAATAAAAAAGAACTTAATGATTGGATAATAACAGCAAAATGGTTATTATATGATGGATATAATTATTTATGTGTTCTTTTAGCACATAATAATGTTTGTATTTATGATATATTTAATAAATGTTGTCAAAATACATGGTGTGAAGAAAAATGTATTTTGTATCCTTATATTTGTAATTAAATGAAAATGTTAATTAACTAAATGAATATTGAACTTAACTTTATTATTAGATATGCTGGATTTATATTGAATAATGATAAAAATCTAATTATTTTTAGTGGAACTGTATATCAGGAAATTTTAATATGGGAAGTAAATTATGTTTATCATATTGAAACATCACCAGTCTTACATCGTTTACAAGGACACAATGTAATATATTAATTTAAAATTATTTTTTTTTAATTATATTTTTATTTTTATTTTAACGTTTAAGTTTAAAATTATAAATGATTGAATTTTAGGGTGTAATCTTTTCTGTCATATATGATCCAATTGCACAATATATTTGTTCTACATCAGATGATAGAACAATAAGATTATGGAAAATAAATAATAGCAAAAGCAAAAATTGGAAGAACATTGATATAAAATTAGTGAGAACAATGTTTGGTCATACAGCTAGAGTATGGAAATCTGTTATTAAAAACAACATTATAATTACAATAGGAGAAGTAAATATTATTATGCAAATATAATAAGCATTTATATTGAAAAAAATTTAATTTTATATTTATATTTTAAGGATTCTCTTATGTGCACTTGGTCATTGGAGGGTAAATTACTTAACAAAGTTTGTGCACATCATGGTGCTGCTATATGGAGTATTGATGTATCAAATGATAATAAAACTATTTTTACTGGTGGTGCTGATGGTGCAGTTCATGCATGGCCTTTTGTTAATGATTATATTCAAAAAACTATATTAGTACCTAAAACAAATGCATACACTTTGCCAAAATATGTTTGTTATTTAAGTAGTGGTAATTTTTTAATTTTTTATGAAAATGGTACTCTATCTATATTTAATAAATATTATAACAATGTGCAAGAATCATTATATTTAGAAAAATATAGTTCATATTGTATTATGGAAGTTTCTTTATGTCATTCCTACATTTGTTTTGCATCAAAAGATGGATATATAAGAATATATAAAGGTAATATTAAATTTTTTTTATAATATTATAATATTATTAATATTATAATTATAAACTAAATTATAATATTATAATTATATTATATTAATTATTAAAAATATTTTCTATAATGATTTTAGAAATAGAAGTTGCAACTAATAAAAAATTACTACAAATTTTAGAAGAAAAAATAATGGAATCACAAATACTTTCTGTGCAGTGGCTAGAAAATAATAAATTAGTAATTTGTGGAATAAATGGAATTTTAAAAATATTTAATTTTACTGTAGAAGGTATATTTAAAAAAATATATAATAATTTTTGTACAGTTAATATTAAATTATTTAATTTTTATTATTTTTATTTCATACAGGATCATTTACTATACAATCAGTATGTCTTTTACCATATAGTCGAGAACGTTGGTTAACAGCAGCTATTTTATATGAAGAATTATTAGTATGTGGAGATAGAGCTGGAAATATGCATATTTTTGATCTTAAAACATATGTTCCATATAATGAAACAATTATATTTGAAACAAATAATAAACCTATTCAAACTATTAACAAAGTTCATGGAAAAATTGGTATTCAAAATTTCATGGTTGTAAATTCAAAATTAATATCAGCTGGTCGTGATGGAATGTTAAGATTTTATGAATTAAATAAACATAAAAATACAAAATTATTATGCATTTTACATAAACAAAAAATGCCAATGGATTGGATTAGTGGCCATTTAAAATCTTTTGATGATATTCTTATATTAGGTTTTAAAGAGGTATATATATATATATATATATATATTAATAATGTTATATGTATATTTGTACATATTTTTTTGTATATATTTATATATGTTTTATTATATATATTTATTTTTTGTTATTATTATTTATAGGTTGAATTTGTAATATACAGTATGATTCATCATCGAATTTTAATGAAAATTCCTTGTGGTGGTGGACATAGATCATGGGATTGTATTTTAAAAAATAATTTTATTATGTTTCTATATATTCGTAATAAACAAGTATATACATCTGATTTTTCATTAACTTCTTTCACATTACCGATTTTATTAGTGAGTAATTTTTTCTTGTTTTATTTTTTTATAAAAATATATATTGTTAAAATTATATTATATATATTTTTTAATTTTCAGAATGGTTTTCATACAAAAGAAATATCTTGTATAAATCCAATATCAAAAATTAATCAAAACAATATTTTTATATCTGGAAGTGAAGATGGTACTCTTCGTATTAGTTACATTTTGAATCCATTGTTGAATAATAATATTCACACCTTTCAGACATTGAATATTTTTGATGGTCACATCTCTAGTGTAAAATTTATAGCTTGTTTAGATTTGCAATTTAACTTTTTATGCAACAAATATCTTATATTTTCGGGAGGTGGAAGAGCACAGATAAAAGTTTGGGAAATTGATATAGAAAATAATGAAACATTTTTACATAATAAAGATATTTCTTGTCGTGATATTACATGTCATATGTTGTATGGATTTGATCAACATCGTAAGAAGCAATTGCATGAATCTAATCATTCTTACAATATGCAACCTGAAACTCGATATATGGATATTGAAATTTATTATTGTGCTACAAATTTTTATTATATAATACTTTTTGTTGCTTGTGCAGATGGATTTATAAGGTATTTTTTTTTGACATTTATAAATTTGAAATATAATATTTTATTTTTATATTGTATATACAAATAGCATATTTATAGATATAAATAGAATATAATTTTTTTTTAATGATTTTAAATTAATATCTTTCTAAATTTATATCTTTTCATGTAAATATTTATTTAAATATTATTTGTAGAACATTTTTATATGATATTAATACAAAAAGTATTTTGTTAAAAGTATCTTTAAAATGCGTAAATCGTTGTATAACAAAAATAGCTATTATAACATATAATGAAAAAATAATTGTGTTAATAATGTCAACTGATGGAATTTGTCGATTTATTGATTTTACTGATACTACTTCAAACATAATAGAATTTTCGCAAATTGAAAAACAACAATTTGAAAATTATAAAGATATATTTATTACAAAGTTTAATTTACATCAATCTGGAATTAATTCATATGACATAAAAATAATTGAAAAAGGCCACTATTTGTTAGCAACTGGAGGTGATGATAATTTGTTTAATATTATTCATTTTAACGTACAATTACAAAATAAAAAGATGGAAATACATATTTCATTATTGTCGAAATGGAGTACTTCAACTGCACATGTTGCTCAAATTACAGGTAAAAAAATCATTTATTTATATATATCATTTTATATTATATATGTTTTATATTATAGTTTATTAAGCTAAAATTATATTTATTGAATTATGTAAAAAAAAATTAATAAAATAATTTCCAGAAATTAATTTGAAAAAATATTTTTCAGGAATAATATTTCATGATAAAAATACAATTTTTAGTGTTGGAATGGATCAACAAGTGATTATGTATCATTATAATAACAATGATATTTTATCTGTAACAATATTGAAAAGAATGTTTACATTTGTCACAGATATTAAAGGCATAACTTCATGGTATAATTCAAAGTATGTTTATTACATTTGATATTCTAAATTAAAGAAAAGAAAATAATAATGATAATAATAATATTATATTTTAATATAATATAATATATTATATTTTAATATAATATAATATATTATATTTTAATATTTTTAAGATTAATATTTAGCTAATATATATTAAAATTTATTTTAGGAATGAATCAGTTATATGTGTATATGGCAAAGGATTTGAGATATTGATTTAATATCTATATACATGCACAAAAGATTCTGAAAATAGGTAATATTATGTTTTCTAAAAATTTAATAATAATTATAATTTAATAATAATTAAATATTATAGTAATGTAATTATATATATATATATATATATATATATATATATATATATATATATATATATATATAT